GATAACCTCTTCTGTCCGAAAAACTAACTGACAAAAGTTGATAGAAAGAAAATGACAGTTAAAATTTGAATAAGAATAATTAATTCACACATTTTAACGAGTTTTTTTTTTTTTTTTAGGTATTGTCCCTTTTCAGCATTACATTAAATTGCCAGAGTGACCTTTCTATTTCTAGATAAAATAAAAAGATAAAGATTATCAAATTGAAATAGCTTTTGTTTCATTTTTTTTTAATTGTCAAGTACACAAATTTCTAAGTTTTTTTTATTAGAATTTTAAGCTACACATTTCTCTAATCTAAAAAATGATATAAATTAAGGAGATGTGGTATGATTGTCAAAGTAGACAACTATCTACCAGAGACCAAATGACGCAAATGTTTGCAACTATAGGTTTTAGTAAAAAATCGGATTCGGATGTTATTTGGTTGCAGTGTTTTTTTTTATTATTCACTTATTTTGATCACTTTGCAGATTTTCTTTGTACATAGTTAGAAATGGGGGAACAACGATCTTAAACTTATTAGATCACTACTATGAACCAAGGCAATTTTATGATAATATCAATAATGATCGTGTTTCTTTTGCTGGATCCTCCTCGGTGTAAATTGCTATTATTTAATTGTATAAAAATCATCTCAGCATTATCAAACAAACCCATACAGGTAACTATAATGAATGATTATTACCTGAGCTTTTTGAGATGGTCCCCACTAAAGCCTGTAGTGGTATTGGTATTTAACATGTTTAACATCAGCGTCAAAATCGTATTGACTTTCCTAGCACGTCTAATAGGAACGCTTAATTGTGTTATTTACTAAATTTATGTCAACGATGAAGTAATGCTTTAATATTTCGAGCCATGATTCAAATCAAAAATCATTTCTGATCGCAAGGGGAAATAAAACAAAACATTTTGAAAATAAGAAGTTCTCTATAGCAGGTATTTTAGTTGTGAGCACTTCTGTGTTGACATGAATCATCATTGATATGTTCATAATTATAAATTAATTGTTTACAAAACTTTGAACTTAAGTATTGAAATATTAAGGCTTTTCTACCTGAGGAATAGATTCCCTTAGCTGTATTTGGCAAAACATTTAAGAATTTTTGGTCCTCAATGCTCTCCAACTTCGTACTTCATTTGGACTTGTTAACTTTCTTTGAATACGAGCGTCACTGATGAGTCTTTTGTAGACGAAACGCGCGTCTTGCGCAAATACAAAATTTCAATCCTTGTATTTATGAAGAGTTTATTAGTAACTACAAAAAAAATACAGCAGTTCTTTAGATCCACTGCTCAACAGTCAGCTCTAATCTTTGACCTTGGTTCAAAGATTCAATAAAACTTTCTAGTCAAAGTTTTCGATGAAAGAAATTATTTGTCCTAGTAATTTCATTATATCACGCAGGAAATTAAAATACACATATGAAATACGTCAAAAAACATAAGTGAGCGTTCTTATTTAAATCACTATGGAAACATTAGATAAAATTATATGGGTTCTCTCGTTCGAACAGAACCGATAGGAAACAATAGAATGAAAACAAGTTTAAGAGTTGTTTCCTAACTTGTGCATTTGTGAATTCCAAGGTTATTCATAAAAGGGACGTAAAAAAAACCCCAAATATTATCAACTCACGGAAAAGTTCTGACTTTGTTGGTACCAAGTTTCTTCATACGTTCACATCAAAACGGTAGTACATGTACATGTAATACAGTCAGCTTAAAGAAATTTTTACAGAATACGTTGCCAACACATACCCATTGTCAAATATAAGATCTTCGTTAAGTTAACATATATTAAATTAATAGATATTTTTCAACATTGCTATATCAGTGGAAGATTTGGCTAGCCATTAAACCAGGTTTAACCCACCATTTTTTTCTTAAAATGGCCTGTATCAGGCCAGGAATATTGCAGTTGTTATCAAATAGTTCGTTTCTGTGTATGTTGTATTTGTGTTTGTTTTGTTGCATTTCAGTGTGTTTGTTGCTCCGTTGTTTCCCTCATATAGTTGATTTGTTGACCTCAGTTTTACTCTGTGACCCGGATTGTTTTTTTTCCCCTAAATCGATTTATGACTTTTAAACAGCCGTACCCGGATTTCTTTTCTTAAATCGATTTATGACTTTTGAACGGCCGTACATAATGTTGCCTTTATTTAATGTTTCAGTTCTATTTTCCTTATTCTAATTGAAAGAAGGGTGAGGAATTTTTCTGCGAACGATTGGACCATAAGTGCATTTAGTTCCAACAGTTTTATGCCGACTCGACAGTGTTTTGATAGAGGTAAGGTTTGAACTACACTTTAAATACATGTTAGTATTTTACTCTATTTTTCTATCAGTCTCTCTGCTCTAGATATCGGTTAAATAATTTTAGTACCAGTATGTCAATTAAATAGATTCTGACCAATTACCATCAAGGTCAGTTTTATAAGCGTACACAGAAAACATTTGTTTCATCAATCATGATTATGTTATGTTTTAATGTTACATCAGTTAAACCATTCACAAAAAAAAAATGTTATTACGGTCATTTTGTATTTCAAATCTTTATCTAGTATATGATAGTTTATCAATAAAAAAATATAAAATCAAATTAAAATATTTGGGAAACTAGCCTACATCCTAGCCTCACAAAGTTACACCTCAGGAAATTATTAAAACCAAAAAGATATAAACGCAGAACTATTTTTTAAAATCATTTAATCATTTTTTTCAAATGACTATCACTGGCAAAATAGACTAAGTTCTTACCTGACAACCCGGCAACTGTGTCTGCTCTAAATCGTGTCAGACCGATGTAGTGTACAACTGTTAAAGAAAAGTTTTAACAGTTCCATACGATGTATTCTTGTCGTTCCTAAGAGTTGTTAGAGCTTATTTTTACTACAGCCATATTATTGCCATTAGCAATAAATATCTCTAAACCTACATGGTCTAAAATATTGTCACTAAATTGTGCATTTTAATCCACTCTTTTTGAAACTGATAAAACTTTGACATGTATAATGTTTACATGCCTCTTTTTAACGCGGTTACATTTGATGGCTAAAGCATTTGATACTTTGAATATAAAGAATTACTCTTTCGGGCCTGGCCAGAAAGAACATACAAGAAAGATGATCATATTACACACACATGTGTCCTACCAATAGCTGTAACTTAGAAAAAAAGTAAAATATTTGGGTATTTTGGTATTAAATTAAATAAAATTAGAGCTAAAGAACTTGGAATTAATGTCGAACCCTTGTTAAAGTTTCGTTTGAATATTCAAAAAAATATATAATAACTTGAAATAGGGGGCATATTCTGCCTGTTGCTTATGTTAAAAGCACCTTTTTCTGTACTACAACACTATCGGGAACCAGATCGCCTTTAACTGCAATAAAAAGGTTCGTTATCTGTTTATATATTGTCTATTATAAAGTACTTCTTTGAGTCCTGATTCTGAGCAGTTTTGAATTCGTATCTTACAAAACTACAAAGCCATTTTTTTAAATGGTTTGGAAATGATGAGCGTGGGAAATTTTCAGATGTTTTTAAAATATGGCGGAAATATGTTCCATTAAAAGCTGTTTGAAGTCATGCTTTTTCCTATCGTCATGGTTGATTCCGTTGATTTTAATAATACACAGCACAATTACGCAAAATAATAATCGACTTTTTTTCAACAACAGAAAACAATCATTCGTCTTAAAATAAATGAAAGTCTGATCTTAATTGCTATGTCATAAAAACGAAGCCGCGACATTTGAATAGTACCGTTGTTAACATATGCAGACAATAGATCATGTTTCGTTTCGAAGTATGCAAATAATATTTTCCTCCTTTCTCGCAGTTACATTTAATTTACTATTGCGAAGAAAACTTGAATACACCGTTGTTGTCATTCCTTTTCTTTAAAAGTATTTAAAGTTAACATGCAAATTTCAAATGAATTTAATTTATTTCATTTATTATCTACTACATTTTTTTTTTGTAAATAAACAAATCGACATATTTACCACTGTAACAGTTATTATTTCATATGTGTGTGATTGCAACACCAATGGTGTGCTGTGTAAATGTATAGACGGAGAAAAAAACCTTGCAAACTGATTGTATAAGCCTGTTTTCTTACAGGAATGGGGACCCGTATAAATGATACCGTTTTAAACGTAGAAAATGCCATGTTGTTGTTGCTAAAACTAACTATTAATATAATAATGTGCATTACTTAGCCTTACGTAATATATTGTTATTCATTTTCAACACTCGATAAAAATTTGATTTATTTTCTATAGAATTATTGTTAATACCAAGTTTGAAATTAAATCATGTTTAGATGCTGAGGAAGGTTAATAACGAAATTTATAAAGGACTGTTTTCATTGTTTTATTCACGTTTACATCATAGACTGTCTGCATATTCAGGAATTTGAAATGACGTCTGGTTAACGCATTTAATGGTTTAACAACTTTGTTATGTATGAAAGAATATGACAACGCTGAAACACAAATCTTTCATGAAATAACATTAAAAATAAACATAACATGAGAAAATTTACATGGTATATGAAATTGCTGATGTCTGACGGTTATATACAAGAAATTAACAATAGTAACGTAAACTCTTTTTGTACCTTATTAACGGATCTGACTTATCAAAATATTCATAAAAAAAACAGTTGTTACATAAAGTTAACTAAATCAGGATATAAAGTTTTGCTTAAGAAGTATATAAGAAAAAAATAACCTATCCGTATTACATTGTAAAAGACAAGTTATTATTTTTATGATATCGAATGAACTATCCCTATAAATGTATTAACTTTCATCGTTTTCCTAATGATTTAAAAGACTAAAATGTATGTTGTTAAACATTCAAATTTGTTTAACAATAGTGTGTATATGTTTACAAAAGAATTAATAATTGACATACTAATCTTTTAACCTAGAGTGTCTTTTAAAGTTTTTATTGAATACCTTTAATGTATAAATCAATCTCTTATAGATCTATTGATTTTGCCTCCATTTTGAATTTGAGAGCACACGGTAAAAACAAGAGTAGTGAACGAATTGTAAGTTTCTTACTTACTTATTATGATACTTGTCTGGGCTTTGATAGGTGTGACATAAGCAATTGCTCCACACGTTATTATTCTATAGAAACAATGTTTTATGAAAGTACAGAACGTTCAACGTGACAAATGTGGCTTTTGATTAGGGAAAACTTCCTTGTTATTTTAATCCTCTGTATATTAATAATTAAACGGGAACTTTCAAACTGCGTGAAGTATTATACTAATACGCTTACTAGGCATTCGTCGTCCGCTATAAACCAGTATGCTTATTCTTGTATTTCAGTTTTACTTATGTGCTTTGTCTATGTACCTTCATGTGTTTCTTTGTTACATACTAGTATTTGTTTGATTTTATAGTGATTAAGATTATAACACAATGCTGAGTATTGTGCCCCAATGTTTTGAAATTTTTACCTATTATGGCTAAAGTTATACGAACCATGAAACCAAAATCAGTAGGTGAACGTCGGTACTACTGGAGAGTAAAAAAGTAAAACAAAAATGCCGAACTCAAAGGCAAAATCGGAAGGGGGAAGTCCGTAAAAACCGACAAATCAAATCCAGAATAGATTCAACTACATATGTGGCAATTGTCGTGTAGCGCATGTAAATCGTTGAAAAAAGGACTCAATTGTGGGAACGACAATTGGAACATATATATTTCAGACTTAGTAAACATTGATTGCCTATTTAGTTACGATAATCGTGAAATCAGGAGGTGGGGTCAGTTTGAAATAAGATTTCCAGGGATATTAAAACATTTCATAGGCAAATCTGTGTATCTTTGAAGGAATTTACTGCAGGTTTTAGGTAGTTTCCCGACTTCATAATTTACAGGTAAACATGAACTACGTTCATTGAAATCTTTAACGTCAATATAGACACTGACATAAACAAACCTTTTCGGAAATAAAGACACCGTAAAAAGAAACAAATATATAATCATCATTTGCAAAAGAACGATTTACGACATGGAACGAAACTGTTCCTTTTAATCGTATGATTTAGTAGTGTTAAGTTTTCCGTTTTGTCCTGAAAGACTTAATTTAAGAATAGAAAAAAAAAACAATAATTACTGATTATATCATATCTATGTGAAGTCACTTGACTGATTCGATAATGAAAGAATCAGCGGACCCTCAGTATAGGTAATAAACTTGATAATTTAAAACTTTAAGAATTTTATTTAATACAAATGCACTATGCAATTTATCGAATTTCATTCATCATAAATGCAATTACGCAATTTTTTAACGTCCTTGGAGCTCCAAATAAAAAGCGATATTAAGCTTTTTACATTGATGGGTTAACACTTTTTTAAAGACGAAATTTCCAAATATGAAATTATATTGAGCCATGTAGTCAAATTACAACAAATTTCATAGACTGTTTGAATATTGTATATTTGAAAGGAAATAAAGTAGTTGGTAATTTGCATAAATACACGTGTGTAGTAGAGACATCGGCTTCAAGCTATGTTTCAAATCTAATTTATCGATGCGTTTTTTGTTCATTAAGGTGATTCGAGTATCAATTTGAAGAACACGACAATTTGATTAGTTCAAATCATGTGTAATCGAATGCTTACACATTGCTTTTAAACTTGTTTCTGTGATGCCTTTGAATTGCAATGCAGAGTGACACGTATGGAAACTACAATCCCGTCGTTCTCTTTTCCCGAATATGACCTAGCGCATTAGATTTATTACCGGGTTTGTAATAGCATTAGCATTAAATAAAGCCAACAGTAGTATACCGCTGTAGACTGGTGCAACATGTAGAGCAGGATGTGTTTACCTTTCTGGTTTACCTGAGATCACCCCCGGATTTTGAAGGAGTTCGTATTGCTCAGTCTTTAGTTTTCAATATTATGTGTTGAGTACTATTTGTTGTCTTTTTGTATTCTTTTTATATTTAGCCATAGCGTTTTCAGTTTTCAATTTAAATGAATTTCTGGTATCTTTACTTTTCGCTTATGATGTGTTTGAGCTTCTGATTTTCCTTGGAGTTTGGAATTATTGTTATTTTACTTTTTATAACAGGACATTGTTTTTAATTGACTGTTAGCATATGGTTTGTAACATATTGAATTTAGAAATGGATACACATACAAAGATTGATAAGATTATTTTATTTTATCATGTTTATAGCATTAATTGTCTGAGATAGAACCTGAAGTACGGATTAAAGAAAATAATGAAGCTTAAATTATGGCAATGGAGGCTAATACTACTCTCTTTGCTGTCGTCAGTTTTGTGTCAGTACTTGTATTGTGTACAATCCGTAGAGTCACCGTCGCTGCGGTAGTTAATATGATAATACATAGAAATTCAGAACTATATAAAAAGAATGATTTGGCAGTAAGCATTTGATTCCTTTATTTTAATTCATTTTGTAATTTTTTAGACGATCGTATTCGTGATTTTTTCTTCTAAATGTTGAATACTAAATAGAAACAAAAAATTTCGTTCCGAATATCTCGTATGTTTTTATCATTTTACATCAGGCCCAGTCCAAATGCCATGAAACCCTCCATAAATAACAGTTTGGAGAGAACAAAAGGAAAAAGGGCATCAACACAAAAACAACAAACAAAATATAATATCACCTTTGTCTTCAGCTCTCTGATTCTCTTTGTTGACATCAAATTTTTAGTAATTCAAAAGAAAACCACATATAATACAGTGTAGTTATATTTGTTTAAACTTAATTCCTTAACTTGATCTTCTTTGTTTTAACAAGCAATTAGATGAAAAAATTGTTTTTAACAGGTCAAAAATTTAAGATTTTATTTTCAACAAATGGACTAGTTAAAGAACTGGATCTTTCCACCGGTAACGTGACAATATTAGCCAATGTTTCCTCTAGAGTGTTTTCTATGGCATATGACTACAAATACGGATATCTTTTCCTTCCAAGATTTGATTTAGGAGGCATACTGAGGTATGATTATCAAATATCATTTTTTAAACTCGCGAAACAAACATGATTCCTCTAAAGAGTAACAACAAGAAGCAATTATTCAAAAATAATGGAAGGTATCAATCTTTCTGCGGCATTTTTTATATTGTACCAAGGAAACAAGGGACAGTCTATTTTTACATTTAGTTCATTGTATGATGTATTGAAATAAACAATTCTTTTGAATATCTTATATAAAAAAACATGAAGATATAAACACAACTTTCTTCATATATATTGTCATAGGAAATTTATACCAACTTTGTCGTCTCATAACAAAACTGTACATACCACCGAAACCTGTTTATTACTTTCACGTTACAAGTTATTGAAAAATGAATTTACACAATTACAAAAGGTACATATTTTTGCACCACAGGTTACATTATACGTCAGATCTATCATTAGTGACAGTTGTCCCGACAGCAGCCACAACAGCCAACGTCGTTATTGATCCTTTGTATGGTCATCTCTACTGGACAGAGAGAATAACAGGGGGAAGGATAGGTCGATGCAACTTTGATGGATCTAATGTGACTTTAATAACGAATGAGATTAATCCTTGGGCCATCATGCTCGACTTTGAAAATTGGTTTGTTTATATAATTACTCTCTCTCTCTCTCTCTAAATATATATATACCGGTACATTTAATTCGTCTAAATATCAGCCCAACAATGTTAACTGTAAATGTCTATTACAATATTAATATCGTTTACTTAGGTATGACTCTACGTCATCTCAAATTTCATAAGCGTTTAATTTTAACATATAAAGAGACAAAAGTATGCACTAGTAAACTATGCAAAGATTATTTAGAATTTAGTGTCTTGTTTATATGGTTTTTGATAGAAAAAAAAACAAATATTTCTCTAATTAATGTCTGTATAACTTGCAAATTTAGTTTATTTTTTATCTGAATGTGTTTACATTGTCTAAATGTAAATGATGGTGTTATATGCAGCACTGACAATTCTACATACAATAACAAAATGAAATATGTAACACGTTTATTGGTGAATGCAAATCATCCTACTACCAAGTTGACACTCGTATCGAAACTCGTCATAACCATCTATTTTGGAAACAAATCACTAAGGTTTTACTTTACAAAAGCTATTTCGAAAGATTTCAAGGCTTACATGTTTTAAATTCAAAACATTACAAAATACAAGGTATTCGGTTTTGATCCTTTTTGCGTTCATGGGATTCTCTGAGTTTTTGTTTGTTGCCTTGTTTTGTCGTCTTATTCGGAATGTATGATAAGAACATCGGTAAAAGATAGATACCAGAGGGACAATCAAAACAAAGAAGATCAAGTTAAGGAATTAAGTTTAAAAATACCAGAGGGACAATCAAACTCATACATTGAAAATAAACTGACAACGCCATGGCTAAAACATAAAAAGACAAACAGACAAATAATACACAAGACACAACCTAGAAAACTAAAGACTAAGTAACACGAATACCACCATAAACTGGGGGTGATCCCAGGTGCTCCGGAAGGGTAGGCAGATCCTGCTCCACATGTGGCACCCAGTAAACTACTGTTGTTTTAATTTGTTTTTTTGTGATGCTTTTGCCATATTTTGTGACATTTGCATGAGACGATTATTATATGTTTATACGATAGTTTATATTAGATATACAGCTTATTGCATTTGATATCAAAACGGAGAGCATATAAAAGAGAGGTGAATGATGCCAAAGGGACTTTCAAACTCATACGTCGAAAATAAACTGACAACCCCATGGCTAAAAAAGAAAACAATAACTAGACAATTAACAGTATCGAAACACAAAACACAACATATAAAACCAAAGACAGGGTAACACGAACCCCGCCACAACTGGGGGTGATCTTAGATGCTGCACATGTGGCATCCGCCGTGTTGACCATGTTAGTCTAATTTATCTAAACCAATTATAATTTGATTTCTTACTATAGGTGGCTCTATTACAGTATTATTCAGTCCTATGTTGGAAGTATAAAACGAGTCAGGTTAAACGGAACTGAAAAACAGACTGTTTTTGTTCTTCCTAATCAAATTGTAGGATTGGATATGGGTAAGTGCGTTATCAACAAATTCTTCAGCAAATGAAAATATAAAAACTGTTCTGTTTATGTTAATGAGTATTATGGTGAAAAGTAAAATCACAAAAACTACTCCAGGGAAAATTCAAAATGGAAAGTCCCTAATCGAATGGCAAAATCAAAAGTTCAAACACATCAAACGAATTGATAACAACTGTCATATTACTGACTTGGTACAGGCATGTTCTTATGTAGAACAAAAGTTAACGATACTAAGCGACAATGAAAATTATGTTCATATGCCGACGGGATGATTATAAAAATCGAATATTAAAATAACTTTCTCCGAGACACAATATTCAAATTGAGGATTTGGCAACACGAAGTCCACAAAAATTCTGAGCGATAGGGGTCTTATGTATCCATGAAATATAAGAATATCCTGCATCATAGTAACCGTTATTATGATTCGTAATACATGTTATATTTAGCCAACAGAAAGTAAAATAACAAAAATACCGAACCCCGAGGAAAGTTCGAAACATAAAGTCCCTAATCAAACGGCAAAATCAAAAGCTTTAACCCATCAGGTAGGAAAGTAATATTTAGTTTATATCTGGATGTATGACTAAATGTTTGAACAAATGATTGTGTTATCAATTCAGGATGGACAGGATGATGTTTGGATTAAATATTTGAGGAATGTATTTAATTCATTTTATTTTTGTTCATAGTATATTGCAATCATTTTTGTTCTTCTCCTAGACTTTGCAATAACAAATGTCGTTCGTGTTGCTCGGTCGGGTTTTCTGTATGTACCTTACATTGTTTTGTAGACTCGTTTGTCTTTCCGTCGTCTTTCTTTTTTTCTTTTTTTATTCTTTTTTTTTTTTTTTTTTTTTTGCCTTCGCAATGTCTTAGTCTTTTGTTCGTCTCTTTGCTTTCTTCTACCTTTGCTAATCCCTTTATCATTAAATATATTTTGATCAATATCTCAAATACACTAAGTCAGGCATCTGATGTTCAGTAGTTGTCGTTTGTTGATGTGGTTCATAAGTGTTCCTCGTGTTTCGTTTTTTTTTATATAGATTAGACCGTTGGTTTGCCTGTTTGAATGGTTTTACACTAGTCATTTTTGGGGCCCTTCATACATGTCATAGCTTGCTGTTCTGTGTGAGCCAACGCTCCGTGTTGAAGACCGTACTTCGACCTGTAATGGTTTACTTTTTACAAATTGTGACTTTGATAGAGAGTTATCTCATTGGTTTTCATACCACATCTTCTTATATCTACTTATACTTCGAAACCCTCGCAATAGCTAAAACTTTCTAATATAGATCTATAGTTATATTTTAATGAATTTCATAATAAATTCTTGAGGTTCTTATTTACGCCGTTACATGTTTTCAATAGAATGTATTTTAAAAAACACATTACGTTGTCTTTATTTTTCCACTTTTCTTAGATTTACTATATTGTTCTTTGCAAATTCATCATGTTGAAAACATTTCTTTGGTTCAAAAATCCCACCAACGGACATATTCCTTAAAAGTATTCTTCGAATAAATTCTGTTTTTGAAGTGTCAGATACCAATAAAATAAACGGCACAAAATTTACTTCACCACTTTGGCATTTCAAAACTTTGATGCCTCTTCAGTGCTGATCGATGCCATACTATTTGAAAATTCAAAATCTAATACAAGCATTGAAGAGCTGATCATACCACAAAAGACATAAAATAATGCCAAATCCGGACAAATTAGCGTGTTTTGCTCATACATTTTTCATGCTTGCCATCGAGTATTTTTTTTCTCTTAACATCTGTCAAAATAAAATTTGTGACACCCGTATAGGTCCTCTGTCTGAATAACGTGCTATAGTATTCGTTTTGTTTGTCTTTGCATATTTAATCTTTACTGTATATTCCAATTTGTAATATACTTTTGACGTAGCTCTGTATTGATACATCCCGCAATTCCGTTATTATACTGTGGTCATTTATAGTATTATTGTCTTTCATTTAAGCTTAATAGCTTATTATATAAAGTGTCTTTATGCCATTTTGTTTTTTCCTTGTTGACATTATTGTTTGGTTCTTATTGTTATTAGGATTTTAACACACTTTTGATTGCTGTTGTAATGTTTAATGGTAGTTATGGTTACAAATACGAAGAGTCTTATTATAACAATACATTTTTGCACGCTAAAGAAAGCGTTGTGTCAATTCAGACGTTTCGCGGAAAAGTTAGTGGCCGGGTTGAAGGTTATAGGGATGATCGTAAGGGAGTCTATATGTTCCGTAAGGGGAACATTTAGAAAACACCCCTATCAAGGAAATAATGTATTCGACCACGGGTATATAAGAAAATGAGAAACGGCACTCGGGGCTGTCAGTTGTCTGTCAATGTTCATAAATCAACAGAGCGTACGATTTATTATATGCTAGTAGAGCTATAACACTGAGTAAAATTTGTACTGGGTACAAAGTGGACGTACAAATTGATCAGATTGACAGAGCAGACTGTCCAACACGGAGGACAGACTATACCAGCCACACTGTCTTGCAGTGACGGACTGTCTCACTCAGAGGATAGGCTAAACCAGCACATACTGTCTGGAAGAGACAGACTGTCCCACTCGGAGGACAAGCTGTACCAGCCACATTGTTTTATAGTGACACACGGTTCCATTAGGAGGACAGGCTGTTATATTGTATAATACTTGTATATATCATTGTTCATGGTAACTTTATATCGACAAGGAGTCAGTGTGTATATTTTCGTTCATTGTGTATAACATAGATAGTTAATAGTATTGCCATATTATTTATGGACAACTTGGATCCAAGTATTTACTGGAACGTTCGTTTGAGATATAAACGCCTGGTTACACGTTACACTGTTCACCAATTTTTGACATTTTTACCTAGTATATACAAAAGAAGATGTGGTATGATTGCCAATGACACAACTCTCCACAAGAGACCAAATGACACAGAAATTAACAGCTATAGGTCACCGTATGGCCTTCAACAATGTGTCTTTTTTGGGTACAGCAGTCAACAGAGTGTAAAAATCTTAATAACAATAAAAAAACAAACAATAATGTCAACAAGGAAAAAACAAAAGGGCATATTGACACTAGAATACATGTCAGTTTTTAATGCTCACACATTGTTGTCAATTATTGGAACTTTATTCGACTGTCATACAAGTGAGAGATTTAGTTAGCTATAAAACCAGATTTAATCCACAATTTTCCACATAGAAAAATGCATGTAACAAGTCAAGAATAAGATAGATCATTCGGTCTATTTCAGCTTTTGATTTTGCCATATGGTTAGGGATCTTCCATTTTAAATTTTCCTTGGAGTTTTTTTTTTTTTTTATATTTTACTGTTTTCCATCAATATAGTGATTAAAAATTAAATTCTCATAGTGAAAGACCATTTCGAATTGAGGCACATGGATGTAAAGCTATCCTAGGATGTATGGCAGTCTAATATTAACAAAGGATGCAGCCAGTGGCAAAAGGAGGATGCCGAGAAAACAAATACATTAAGATATGGATTAGGGATCTTTTCGTAAAATTCATATATTTACAGTATGATATTTACCTTGCTGAAATGATCTACTATAAATCCTTATTACGACACTGTTAAGTCCTCTCTAGTCGATTTTTTTCTTTTTTTTCATATAGGAAATGATACAAGTTGAAAAGTTTTATTTATAGTCGAGAAGGTCTCGATAATATATCGCTCGCAAACAGTTTTTTGTATTTATTCTGGCTATTCTTTTATCATAAAACAAAGAATAACTGGTATCTATAATCTTTTTCACTACTGTACAGTATACAGAACTCAGATGTTATACTTTTTTTTATGAGTAAATTGAAGGATATTTGAATGTATGCACTGCCACAGATTGATAAAAGTTATACAGAAACAGATTCGTTACTAAGAAGATGTAATAATTGGTCATTACACATTAAAAGTGATTATTAAGCTGTTAACTTTTTGTTAAGAAATTGCAATATAAATTTCCGATTGTTTTCAGATATTGATCAGAATAGAATATATTGGCTTGATTTTGACACTGGCAAAGTACAATCAGCAAGAACAAATGGGTCTGATGTAACAGAAATATTTGATCCTGGCTCAACCTCTTCAAATTATGACTTTGTAATAAATGGTGACAACATTTACTATACCAATTACAATAAAATAATAAAGTTTCCTAAATATCCTGGCACGACGTCACAAGTAATATTTACTGACATTTTAGAGATTACCAGTATACTCGTCCTTTCGACGAAAGGTAAATATCGTTACTAGTGTAATAAAAGAATGCATACCAGTTATACATTGTAAACTCTTATTTTTTTCTGATAGTATCATTGATTGTTGGATTATAATTTCTAGCAAATTAAATAAAACAACTCTTTTACTCTTACAAATGTTTCTTCAAGCGCGGATGTTAAAAGGTGTTTCACATTAATGATAGTTTTTACTATAATTATCGTGTTGACATATGCATCATTTAAACAATAATTGTATACATTTGTTGTTTAGATAATACCTTCGTAATTATTTGAATAATAAAGTACAGACTGACGCCATCTTGAAAATGCTGGCGAGGTCTGGGTATCAATTTTCGAACGTATATGATATGCAGTATTTAAATCGCTCTAAATGTTCTCATTTGTTGTTATCGCTGTTTTATAAATGTTTCTAATTGTTTAGTATTTTACTGCTTACTATAATTTTATTTTGCACATTTCCGTTTGACAAAATATATAAATTTGAAAATCAAACGGAAATGGAACATAATCATATCTATTAATCGTTGTGCATTTATGTTGCTTTATATGGTTTACACACGTTTCAGCTGGTTTCCGCTTATAACACCTAAAATTAAAGATGAAAATAAATAAAACGGAACAAATCTTGTGGCATTAATTATAAACAAACCTACAAGTGTAGGGGCTTTTTTTCATTTCTGATGATTTAAAATGTATTTGAATCATTTTATTTTTTTTAAGGGCATTAGATAATTATTAATTATTGATAATAACTTATATATTTTGCCCCTCGGATATGCAGACGAGTCAAAACATGCAATGATATGGTTTGACAAGATAATCTAGTTATATAAAGTTAAACTTTATTTATTTCTCTAAGCTGACCATTCCTTTGAATACTATATTTTTTTGCAATCGATAAAGTAACAATTTGTGAACAAAATATTAGTACTTGTATTTGTATAACAAATCATCAAATGTTTTTGAGTTGTAGCGACTGGTAAGTATTAGTCAATATAGAGGTTAAAAGGGAGGGTTTGAATAATAAAATAACTAGTATAACCCCACCACATATGTATGTGTCACAAGTCAGGAACTTCTTTTGTGATTATTTCATATCTTTGTATGAAAATTAACAGATGTTGAATGATTACCAATTAGACAACAATATACCAAAGTTCAAATGAAGTACATGTAGATGTAACCATGCTTTTTTATTTGTTTGTTTTAACTATATACAAGTTTTAAAGATATCTGTCTAGCATGTCTAAATTTGGAAATACTTAAGATACGTCATCAACATGATATTCGTTAATTTTTATTGGAAATGTTATTTTAGTTCAGAGGGAATTTAATAATGTTATTCATGTAGATGTAAGTTTGTTTCATGCAATCTAAAGATCTTTGAATAGTGTTTTAGGAGTGGCTTTGAGACATTAAAGTGCATGTATTAAATACCGTAGTTAAGCCTTAAAAAATGATTACTATTGACTTTTTACAACATCATTCATTAGCTGAATTTATCATCTGATTCAGATTAGAACAAACATATATATCCACATATTGTAGGTAAAATCTCGAAAAGACAGAAGTTAAATCGCAACAAGTTACTAGATTCATTCCGAATCTAAATGTAAGAATTTCTTATAAGTTATAGTTAAATTTGTATTCAGATAATTTGAGTTTCATAACGGTGCTGACATGCTATAGATAAATACACAAGAAAAATAGGGAAGGCATAAAAAAAAAGAAAACAAAAAGAATAATTTGGATTGCTTTTGTATTTTTATCTCTGAATTGTGAATAATCATTGAACACAAATAAAATGTATATGGTTTGCCCCATATGTTAAAAAAATGACATTCTAAAAGAAAAGGACCAATATTTCCTCCTATAATAAGGGCAAATTATTGTTGGCTGTTATTCTGAAAAACAAAATGTATTGCATAAAGTTTAAAAAAAAAGTCTGTTTAACTTAGAACATCACACCTATATCATATGTGATAATGACGTCTTGTCGCACAGTACAAGTATTTTAAAGGTGATTGCAAAACCAACGGTTAAAAACAAAAATTGGCTTATGTAATTAGTTATAACATAAAGATGAGCAACAACGGCTTGTCGTATGTTTCCTTTCAATATTATAGTTAATGTGTGATTGTCCTGCTCATTCACAGTATGCATTATAATCATTAGTATACGTGTGGATGCTGATGTTTCCGTGGTGTAATGAAATATAATATGTGGCTTGCTTTAGATTTTTTTATTTGTCTATTATTGAGGTATCATTGTACGGAGTTTACATCGTGGTACAGGGACAGATTGTAAAACTACCGTATGTGTAGACAAGCATAACACAAGTTTCCTGTTCCGGGCTTTTGCTTCTGTTGGATATTTTGGTCATAGTACATGTAAGTTATGCTCATGTTTACCTCACATCGCCTAAAAGATCATATGAGCTTCTGTTATCACTTGACGTCTGTTGTCATCCCTAGTAAAGTTTCATAGATCTTCTCTCAAACAACTAAACCAATTTGAACAAAACTTTTCACAATAATCCTAAAAGCAATTTGCATTAGATTGGGTTTTATATTGCTGCCAGTCAGCATACATGGCCGCTATGGCTAAAAATAGAACACAGGGGTAAAATGCATTTATTGTGTGATATCTTGTAAATCATAATAGGTTCTTTTAAGCGTATATGGTTCTTGTACACAACGAATCGTTATCTTTCCACATACACCAAAAGCTTTAAAACTAATCAACTTAAATAAAAATAAAAACATAAAAATACATAAAATTTGAATCTGCATTAGAACTGAAATGGATTTTGTTAATGATAACCATCCGCGAGTGATATAGTTGCACGTTCTCAAACGGTCCCGCAAGAATCGACCGCTGTTCGTCCATGACCCCAGGTCATTGCATGTGTTTCACCGGAAAAGTCTACGTTATAGACGTTTGATCTTCAGAATAATCGCATGACATTTCTACTTTTGTTTTATAGCGGCCAAATATTAAAAGATCGTAAGCCATAGTATGGCATGAACCATTTAAAAAAAAAAGTGCTGATGATTTTGACAGTTGATACCCATATATCAGGAATATAAGATATAATGACCCATACCATTCGAATCAGTGTTAGTAGAAGTAGGTTTATGACAAGCTATGTTTAACTTCGTATATTGCAATGCCCACCATCATTTAATGCATGTAAAACGGGCAATATAACTATATGAGTAAACCCCTTTATAGCCGATATTTATAGTTTTATGTTGTACTGTTACACCACTGTCCAAGGTTAGTGGAGAGTTTGGCGTCCGCAAACATGTTTAACCTGCCACATTATGTATGTACTGGTCCCAATGAGAAGCTTGTAATTCAGTGGTTGTCGTTTGTTGCTGTATATTACATTTGTTTTTCGTTCATTTTTTTGTATATAAATCAGGCCGTTAGTTTTCTCGTTTGGATTGTCATTTCGGGGCCATTTATAGCTGACTATGCTGTATGGGTCTTTGATCATTAATGAAGGCCGTACAATGACCTATAATTGTTAATGTCTACGTCATTTGGTCTCTGTTGGAGAGTTGTCTCATTGGCATTCATAGGACATCCTCTTATGTTTATATATATCTTTCAGTTTGAGCAAAGCGTTTTCCTAAAATTCGGCACATTCCTTCTTTTTAGTATTGTTAGATAATTAGTATCTTGTAGATATGCCCCTTCAATTGATCGAAGATTTGATGCATATTAATTTCAAACAAATGAACATATCAAAGATCGAGCATAAGTTTGCAGGACGTTTACTTTTTGCAGTGAAGTTAAATGAATTTTTTTTTCAAAACAGGTCCTTTCAGTTTATCCTGCAATCAGCCAACTGTTGTACAAATAACAGATACACAAATAATTTTTTGCTTTATTTGTACTTGTACAAAGCGGTAATGTGGATATTTTGCGTAACAGTTCATTTTGGGTCCTCTTCGAGGTCCGCGTTAAACTATGTCGATTTCTTTGAAAAATTAGAGACAATGATTTAGATTTCAACAACTAAAGTTTCAAGTGTTGGGTGTAAATTTCAGGATAAAAACAATATATGTACATTGTCGGAAAATATAAAATTTATTTGTACTCGCTACGAAACAGGAGAAAAGCTCGGCGAGCCTCGCTTTTCGTCCTGTTTCTAAAGCTCATACAAATAAATTTTATATTTTCCGACAATGTACATATATTGTATATGACCGTCTTTATCGCGAGTAATATTACAATCAAAACAAAATTAGCTCGTAGTTTGTATTTTTGGTTGTTGAGGTCGTGTTTTTCCCACACCACATCGATGTCATAACTAGATTACACCCCTTATTGTTATTATTAAGCATATCAATATTGGACTTGTTAATTTTTTTTTGATATTTAACTATCTAGAATATTGATACATGTTACACTGTTTCATTGGCAATAATAACAAGTTCAGCTATCTCCTTCCCGTTTTAAGTTGAATTCAAATATGCAAATTTACATATTGTCTTAGCCAAATCATATATTCTTTTATTGTAAATAAATTTAAAATTTTTAATTAATAGTAATAATAGTATTAACAAATTGTCAAATTTTTACTAACATTTGCAATTTTTAAAAACGTAAAGATATACCGATAGATAAACAACGAAAATGTCAACTCAATTCGCCTTTTTAGAATCTAAAGAACTATGGGTAATCGCATTGTTCGTACACCAAAATGAAAATAACGGTTACGTCATTAGTTGAATTTCAACTGTTTATGATATTTTAACCAATCACAACGTTTTGATGTACGCTTTTAAAAGCATTACCTGGAATGCATTAGATTCTGAAACGGCGAATTTGGTATTGCCATTAAACACTATAATTAGATTTGTTACGTTAAAATCAGATAATAAAATCATATAAAGATAATAAAATCATACAAAAAAAATAAAACTATTCAAGATAGCATTCTCCACATATGTTAAAATGAATCTCAGTTCATTCTCTTTTTTATAAATCTGTGAAAAATGTTGCCTCTGGTTGGTAACGTACAAAAATCAAACGTTTAAAAGAGTTCCAACATGACAGGAACATATTTAGGCTCAATTCAGGTGAACAGTAAATAGTAAAGATAAAGTTAAGTAGATGATCCGAGAAAGGGAAAGGTGTCCCCTTTGTCCTCAAAAATGTGTTTTTCGCTATATTTTTTTATTGACTGCCGGACACCTCTCCCCTTCTTTTTTGTACACACAATTTTTCGACTGGCCCCTTCGTGTCCCATTTTTTCAATCATAGATTCGCCACTGACATTCCTAACATTCTGACAGCCAAACGAAAAAAAAATATTTTGTGTAACAATTTTCCCATCTAGAATTTATACATTTCTATTTAACTAAAGAAAGAAGAAAGTATCTCGGTTTAGTCATATTGAAAATATTTCAGCTATGTTACACAATCAATATGATCCTTCTACATATATGTTTACAATAAATCGTATCGAATTGGCGACACATGTTATATTATGTTTTTATAGATACATGTACGTGTCAAGTTTATTTGTTGTCATGTCCACTATACTAGTTTTACCATGTCTATCGGATTATGAATACTTGATATTTTAATTGTACCAGACGATATGTGAATTTGTGTAAAACTTTAATCGTAATATTTGACCACTTACATCTCAGGTAAGCCGTATTAAATGTTTGAGTAGAAATGGAAAAATATGGTATTTGGTAACATTCACTTTGCTAATTTTAATGCATCGGTGTGCATTTCGACAATTAATGTCTCTTCAGTGATGCTCAAACAAATTATTTGAAAATTCATAACATATTACAAACTTGTTAACGGAGCAGGATCTGCTTACTCTTCCAGAGCACCTGCAGAGATTGTGTACTGTTGTTTGTTTGTCTTTTCCATTTTTAGCCATGGCGTTGTCAGTTTATTTTCGAGTTTGAATGTCCCTTTGGTATCTTTCGCTTCTCTTTTAACGAAAATGACCAGATGTATTGATAATAAGTTCGTCTGTTGTCATATTATTATAATTTATGCATAATTGTATAGACTAGTTTAGTTTTATTTTTACTGTTACAGTTGGAATTAGCCTAATACACAAAACGTCATAGTTTGAAAACACAACGAATTATCTCCCTTTTACTGTATTTAAAAATCTAATTCAAGCACTTTAAAAAGAAAAGTCCTGGAACAGCATTGTGAGAAAACTAGTCTGATCACTTACAGCGACTCGACGTGTCTATTTTTTTTCTTTAACATTTTAATTTTTTCTTTAACATAAACGCGAAAAACTGATGTTTGGTATTCGTGTAGTTATCCAAATGTTCGTACTGTTACAATAATGTAGTGTTATATTCTCGGGCATTTTAGGGCAATATTTGTAAGGTGCCCTTGACATGTATAATATGTAAATCATTGATAGTGCCCAGCAGCTGTGTTCTACAAGCACGAGACAGATTGCCACGCTGGACCCTAAAAATTCAGTTTCAAAGTAAAAATAGAAAATGCTCCTCTTGATTTCTTCAAGATTTCCCGCTTCATTTTTATTCAGTATTACTGTTTAATTCCTTTACATGATGATGTCTTAGGAATCTGTCCTACATGATACCTTTAAACAGTGATGTCTTAGATCAAATATACCATATCCCTGTAAGGCCAAATCAAAGTATATTGTTTGTTTTCCGTTACATAGACAAACATTTCCCAGGTAGGTAGGTCGGAAAATTATTATTTTTTATTTCATTTTTTATTTACTTATTTTTTAAGTTCCCTCCAATTACTAACATAAATTTTAGGTAGATATTGGTAACAGGAATCTGTCATTATAACATCCTAGCATCTTTGTGTCAACAGGGGTGATCTGAGCCAGATCTGATAACACTTTTTAAATTTTTTACTTGAAACTAAATAGAAATTGATAGAAACAAGTAAAATTTACTAAAAAGTTTCATACAGTAATACTGAAAAAAAAAATGAAGCGGGAAATCTTGAAGAAATCAAGAGGAGCAATTTCTATTTTTACTTTGAAACTGAATTTTTAGGGGCGAGCGATTACAAAGAACAAGTAATTTATTTGGTGTGGCCTCAGAGAAATCTGTAATACATGATACCTTTACACAATGCTGCCATAGAGGAACAGGTCACACATGATATCTTTACATAATGATGCCTTTGGTGAATCATTCATTAATATTGTATAATAACTTTATAAAGTATGCCTTTATACAACAATGCCTTAGGGGAATCTGTCAGACATGATTCTTGAGTACAATGATCCCTTATAGGTATCTGTTATTTAATATAGTATGATATCTTTATACAGCGACGCCTTGGAGGAATCTGTCATGCACGTTTCCTTAATACAATGATGCCTTATATGAATCTGTCATATAGTATATATTGTATAATAAATTAATACAAAGATGCCTTAGAGGGATCTATAAGACACGATGCCTTGATATAATGATGCCTTTGGGGAATCTGTCAGACATGATACCTTTATACAATGATGCCTTAGGGGCATCTGTCAGACATGATTCCTGAGTTCAATGATCCCTTATAGGAATCTGATATGTAATATAGTATGATACCTTTATACAGCGATGCCTTTGGGGGAGGGGGAAGGGGTCTGTCATACACGATTCCTTAATACAAGGATGCCTTATTGGAATCTTTCATATACATATATAGTCTTGTATGATAACTTTATACAGTGATGTACTAGAGGATTCTGACATGTAGTATTGTATGATAACTGCATTAGTGTAATATGTCATACCTTAGACATGATACCTTTATATATTACTTTTATTTAATGATGCCTTAAAGGAATCTATCACACACGATGTATACGAACTATTTTTGGATTAATCCGCGATGATCCTTGAGGAAATCGCTTCGAACTGATTCCACTGAGAAACTTGCCAGCGTGAAAATCTGTCTCGTGCGTTCTATAATGCACAGATGTGGCGAGGTCGCCATCTAAAACAAATTAATTCTGGTAAAACCGGTGCTAGGGGACATCCTCAACTTGCAATGCAAAAAGATGAGAGTTTCTGCTCCATGTTGAAAACTTCACTATCACGTTGAGATGACGAACAGCAATACATCCGCTGTTCCTTTGTTTTATGTGCGAATTATATGAATCATTAAACAATATCATTTATTTTCTATTAAGGGTATACTACCCAAGAAACTCTCAATGTGTAAACGAGTAATATACGGCTCTGTTCCTTTGCTATATCTATTATTTCGCGGTATCTCCTTAGAGCATTTTCTCTTGTACATCAAATACTAAAGTAGTCTACTGCTAGCTTGCTAGCCTCGAATAAGTTAAGTTAAGAGTTCGTTCCGCGTATCATTACGAAAACCTGTCAACTTTTCTTTTATAAAAATAAGAAGATGTGGTATGATTGTCAATGAGACAACTCTCCACCTTAGACCGCTAAAAGTTAACAACTATGGGTGTAGTTTTTGATAAATATTTAAATTGCGATGAATCATGAGTTTGAATAAAAAAAAAACATACTCATTTACCCTTCAAAGAAACTAGTACTGATGGCTTGCAAAACGATGAAAAATAAAAAAATAAAAAGATTATGGATTACCTCAAGGACGTTAGTTATACGTCCTTGATTACCTCAACAAATATTCAATGTTAAATAATATAACTATCCTTTTCAAGTTCTATTATGGTTTTGGTAAACACAAAGAAAACTACATTTTTGCAAATCAAATATGATATGCAACTTGTTACGGCTAGAAATCATTTAAATTGTAGCCAAACAAAGACACAAATCAATAAGAAAATTTAACAAGATTTATTATACACAAGTTTACAAGATATATTATACAAATTGAAATGTTAACTTTACCGTTAAAATATATGTCCGATCCTTTGTCTTTTCTTTATCCGAAATTCTTCTCTTAACTGTACGGAATATGTCCAATCTAGTATGATGTAGTTAACGTAAATAAAATGTAAAAGTGTCAATCCAACAACTCCAGAGAATTTCTGTGAATCCATGTATATTAACGTCTGATCTGTCCAATTTCGGTTTCGGTATATATAGCTGTCACGGAAACACTGTAGAAGGGAAACTCCTAGAAAACTTTAGAACGGAAACTTCTAGAATACGGTAGAAGTTAAAATTACACATCGTAGGTTATGATCATTCTGGAATCATAATGTAAGTCAAATAGAAAGTTCTAATCATTCCATCAGTATCTATGATTAGGCCAAGCTAAATAAACATAATAATTACAGCATCATAACAAACTTGGAATAATATTTTTTTTAACTAAAGCATACCAATATTACTCCTAGGGTATGGTATATAAACTTTCAATCAGCTGTAAATTAGCTAAAAGTAAGTTGACAAATATGGTGAATAAAAAAAAATAATGGATCTAAATACCTCACGGCTGATGATGGTCTTATTTTGAAGATAAGTATAATGCCCTTTATCTAAAGCCTGTCGTAGAGTGCTAAAGTGGTGCATATTTTTAAAAAACTGTGGTCAAAGGTAAGAAGGAGGAAATTAAAATTAACAACAACAAAAAAACTGCACCGATGGAAAACTCTTCGAGAGGGCTTAATTGATAGTATAATGTTTACTCTATCCTGGATTTTCAACCATAACGTATGTCGGTTTATTCAACTTTTAGATTAAACAACTTTTTCTTGATTTATCACTCCACTATAGACAGGTTTTTCCGATTATCTGCCTTAATTAGTTTGTGATGCGACTCCTAGGCGTCGTCGTAGTAGCGGTCATCATTACAACCGTGAAAAAAAAATATAAAACAAGATATACATCTATTTCCCAGACCGCATATATAATTAACATACTAGTAAACACAAGAATGTGAAGGCGTACTTGACATCGGCAAAATTATAAATGCTATAAATAATAAAGTAATAAAATAAGGAATGGACATTAAAATTATAAGTGTGTAGTAATTCCACTAAAGTAAAGAAAACTTAGTTACATAGGTATACAATAAGGCGTCACTGTCATTCATAATATTTCTATAATCTGGCGTGGTTCCCCCTTTTATTTAATTTTGAACTCCTTACTCCTCTTGGACCCCCTTTTGGAGATTCATTTATGTTTAATCCAGACTTTTTACTGCTTCCACTTTCCAAAATCCTGGATCCGCATCTGATGTGTGGATCTTCTATACAAAAAGAGGTATATGCACTGCATAGTCATCGGATTAATTTTCATAGATTTATTAAAGTTTTTTCACAGTCGTTTCACGACGTGTCAACATTCGTCTGCCAGTGTAATTTTACTTTCAAAAACCTGTTTATGCAAAGTTTTTCTGTTGACAACTTTGATCCACTCAAGTTTTGTTGGCTAGTCAGAAGGCATCAAATGAGACTTATATATATATATATGGAATCAAGCATACGCAACTCGTTGTGTAATTCAAATATTGAGTTTTTTTACGATTATGTGTACAACAGTTACTATTAACTTCACAAGAAATGCCTCCACCTTTTTTTATAACTTTTGGCAGTATCCATAGCAAAATAGATAAGAAAATGAAAGAAATACAAAATAATGTAAACAGAAAATCGATAATGTTTTGATCAATACACGTGCGTTATTTTTCACAGTTGTAAAGGTTGATCAGTAAGAGGTTAATGGATGCGCCCATGTTTTCTAGGTCAATTATAGATAAACCCGTCTATAATAAATCGGGGATCTGAAAATATTATGCAATGAATAATACTATATCAGAATTTAGCATACACATTCTGCACAATGTTTATTATACATAATGGATAATTTTGTTATAATTTTTTCCAGTAGCACTGAAATATGAACTACAAAAGTTACGTAGGTAAGTTCAGTTATCGCTAATTGCAATGATTAAAATATTTTAGTTTTCATTAATCGCCGAAAGGCCGACATAGAATAAATGACACTTCAAAATGTAATGATTGCAACTTAAAGTCGCCTTTTAGATTATATTTAATGGTTTTCTTCTTCAAAGGGAAATAACTGGAAACAAATTGTACGAAAAAAAAACTAATATGCTGAGGTATATATATATATATATATATATATATATACCGTTGATTTAAATTGGCGATACCACACGATTGATAAAGCCGCCCATTTGCTTATGGGAACAAACATTTTTCTGCTATTTTGTTCAACAACATACTTCAACATTTTCTTTTTTTTTTTTTTATTGATTCATTCACAGATGAACCGAGAGAACATCTGTCATCAATTACGGTCGATAATGGAAGCTTGTGTTATGTCTCGTGCTTAGTCATCTTTGAAATAAATAGTGAAAAGGTCAACTTCGTTTTATATTAAATGTGAAAGTTTTACTGTTACATCTACAGGATACCTTAGAAAAATCGAGATGAAATTGGAAGTCGAAGGGTTGAAATCTAATAAACCCGTTATATGTGTATACGCATTCCAACTCATGAACCTCGTCAGTGGTAGTCTTTCATTATACCTTAGGCACTGGTCATTCACCCTTCGTGGGGAACATATAATTCTGTTTACTTTTGTAAAAAAATCAATAACATAAGGGGACCATATTTTTAAACCTCGAGTTTTTGTTTATTTTTTCTTTAATTTTTTCTGGAAACAAACTCTGATCTTTTTACTTCCCTTCTGAAACATATTTAAAGAAAATTACGAGAAATTCAGAATCTAACACTGTTTTTGAAGGATAACCTATGATTCAATCCCTCCAAAAGATGTATAGTAAGTACCTTGAACAAATTGAGATTAAAGCAGCGCGGGTGTCTGCCTCCGTTTTGGATTGTAAAATAGCAGAAAACAGTCGTTCTAGATCTTTAATGAAATGTGCAAATTCTCGAGAGTAGATTGTAATTCATTTGTAAGATTTTTCATGTTAATTCAGAAAATGATGTGTTTTATCATGTTTTTATGACTGTAAAAGATTGCTTTCAGAAAAGAAAAAAAAATAGTTTCAAGGGGCTCGTTTTCTTGCTACATGATAAAATAGGTAAATTCATAACACATCCTTTATAAAAGTTACTTTTCTAAGTTATCTCCCCTTATATGGCAAAGTTGAAAAAAAATGAATCAAACAAAAAATATTTACTTTTAGTAAAATAACAGTAACTTTGCCATATAAGGGGAGATAACTTAGAAAAGTAACTTTTATAAAGGATGTGTTATGAATTTACCTATTTTATCATGTAGCAAGAAAACGAGCCCCTTGAAACTATTTTTTTTTTTTCTTTTCTGAAAGCAATCTTTTAAATAACTTTCAATTTATTAGAACTATCTTCTCATATTTTATCTTCAAGCTATATAGTTTAGATTATTTTTAATGCACAAAATTGTAATTTACATGCATAGTCTATACAGAAACTTACAATTTTTTTTTTGCACAACTTGTAGCGTGAAAAAAAGACCAGTGAATCCGTGACTCATACCTTTTATTATATTTTTGAAAAAAGCATGATATAAACTACATTTTAGCAAATATTTATTTACAAATTCTTTGGATTTTATTTAGAGCTTGACATATTGTAATCGCACTGAATGTTGTCCTTGTAATATCTTTTTAATAATGTGTATGTCATTGGATTGCTGTCTTTTCTACGTATATTCACACATTTTATTCATACCACTAAAGGACGAGATAACGAGCTGACCGGCTCTGCTGCCCATGTGCATTTAAATTATGATGAGTTGAAAGTTATATACCAATTTTAAATGACAGATAACTATTGATATTAAAAGTTTTTAGCTTAATCAAAAGTTATGTGTTATTAAAAGATTTTAAACACTTAAAGTTTAAACTCATTACGCATTTTACAAATTTGCTTTTTCTGCTAACTCTCAATTGTCGATGCAATTTTATGTCCGTCCAGAGGGAAAGAACTCGTACAAATGATTTTTAATTGATGGGTCATTTGCGGATTTGTCAAAACAGACTATTGCTTGTGTTTACAAAGACAAAAGGTTGAAAAAGAGTAAAAAAAAAATCTTTTTTTATTAACACCCCCTCCCCCCCCCCCCCCCCCCCCCCCCAAAAAAAAAAACACACACACACACACACACACACAAAACGTCGAGTTTATAATCATGATTACTGACAGTTTAGTTTTCCTTTACAGTGTGGAATAACAAAGGTGGAACTGGGAAAACGTCCCTGGTATTCCAGCTGTCTGCAGAATACGCAAGACAGAATCCTACACACAAAGTCATTGTCATCGATATGTGTCCGCAGGCAAATGTTTCAAGTTCACTGCTCGTCAATACATTTTCTAATTTTCCAGGCGAGAAAGTTGTTTCCGATGCATCTAAGATTGATACGAAAGGGAAGAAGATGAAAAGTTTTGAACCAAATGTATGTGGTTATCTTTTATCAAGACTCGATCGGGACGAAAGCGTGAAAGGAACGATTAATTGGAACCAATTCTTGATACAAGCGAGCGTATTCAATAAATTCGTCCCGGATAATTTACGTCTCCTTTGCGGTGACATTTATTTAGAGGTTCTCTCGAAAAGACTTGAACAAGAACGACAACTCGTGCCAACTCGATATGATCATCCCTGGAGAAGAGTTACCTTATTCATGAAGGATTTTATCGAATTCATCAGTTCTAGTAACAAACAAGTTTTTCATATGTTCTTCATTGACACAAATCCAAGTTTTTCCATTTACACAGAAATGGCAATAACTGGCGCGCGTCGCATGGTCGTTCCATTTACGCAAGATGATTTTTCAGTGTCTGCAATTAAAGCTATGCTTTATTCAGTTTACGGCTTTACAAGCGAGGACAGCGAAAGACTAGAAGGCTTGAAAGAATCGCAGTATTTTTGGCTAGCAGACAAGTATGGAATATCGCCTCCAAAATTGCATTTATTCATAAACAACAGAGCGACATTTTACGGAACGAAAGCAGCCGCTGCGTTTGCTGCGATAGGTAACGAAGTAAGCGCTGACCTGCTTAAGGTTTATATAAAATGCCAGGACATCTTTGAAACTGTGACAGAGTTATCTTCTCTTGATTTAATCATGGACATTAACAAGTTTAAGATGAGATATTTGATTGATTGCTGTGATTTCCAATCTACCATAGTACTATCCTTACATAATGGATGCCCGTTCTCACAAATTGACCCAGGTTCACATACGATTTACGGGTCACAGATCACAATATCTAAAACTAATTTGGAAGATTGCAAATATGCTATTTTAAAAATTGTTAAGTCGCTGTAGAAGAAAATTGCCAGAGATTTTATATGTGTTATTTACTTTTACAGTTAGTAATACTAGACAGAAACCACCGCTTGTTTACTCTTAGTCCCATTGTATAATGCGCTAACATTTATTTTCTGTATGCTATAATTTATTTGATTGGAATAGATATCGCTTATTTCCCTTGTATAATGTTTCATTTCATTCCGAAATTTGATCGATAAAACATTATTGACTTTAAATTTTCATGTATCTTTACAATATATACGAGCGGTCAATAGTTGGTTCACCTATTTTCAGTATATAATCTCAAAAGTCCAGATATGAAAAAAAAACTAGACAACGTGATGCCCCCGCACTCCACTGTGAAGTAACTGTATTATAACAAAGTCAATGTAGGACTTTCTTTGAGATATTATTGTGTCTGGGAGACACAAATGATGCCACCGAAGATGCAAAGATTTATTCTACAATACACAAAGTTGAGCATGGGAGCACATAGGTCTATGGTTCACTGTAGGAGTTATCTGGAATAGCTATGCGCCTTTTATGCAAGTAGATACTCCAAAAATGACAAAGTTCAACTATCTTCTTAAAGAGCAAATATCAATAAAAATCAAAACCCTGACCACGTGCACACCTTGAATATATGTACAAACAGCCAGCAAAGTGAAAACTTCCTAGCATTCAAACTATAGGAGGAGTTATCTGGAATAGCTACATACCCTTAATGGGACGGACGGACGGACACGGGTAAAACAATATGCCCCCCCCCCTCCCCCCAACTTTCAGTTGAGGGGGCATAAAAAGATGGTTAATAAACATATTCGTGTGTGCAACCAGATACGTCTTTAGTTTACCTGAAAAATGGTACTTCCATATGGGATTCAAATGGCTTAAACAAAATTAATAATTAATGGTCTCTGTTACCCTTTGAGCAACTTTGTCTTCATTTTTTTATCTTTGGCTTCACAAACTACATGTACTGGCAATGAGTTTGCCTGGTAAAACATTAAGCCGAGATAAGTCTATGCTTTAAGCAAAGTCAATGTTTAAGATATAAGTGTATACGTTTCACATACTCAACTTAATTACAATCATAAAGAAACAAAAACAACAAAAAACAAAAAAACAAAAAAAGTGACCTGTAATTCAGTGTTGTCGTTGGTTCATGTCTGTTATATCTGTTTTTCATTTTTTGATTTGTCAATAATAAAGCAATTTTTTTCACATTTTGTCATGTTGGGGGCTTTTATTTCTGACTATACGATATTGGTTTTGCACATTGTTGAAGGCCGTACGATGACCTATGTTTGCTTAAATCAAAGGCATGTGGACTCTGTTGGATAGTTGTCTCAATGGCAATTATATCACATCTCATTATTTGATATGAAATCGTTGCCATTCACAATGTGTGTAAAATGAAGCTGTATATTTTAAGCCAGCTATATGCATCATTATCTAGGAAGAGAAATGAAATAGGATATCTTAAAGATAACTGGCATCTAAAAATTAACTAATTAACAACGATTCATAGAAGAGTGGATGAAGAAACATATCTCGCAATAATAACCCATTACGGAAGAATGAATGAAAACAGCATGGCAAAATAAAAAAACACAAACACACAGACAGACAGACAAGCAATGATAGAAACTGCAATAAGTTATGCCACATTAAAAACAAAAAAAATGTAGAATAAACCAGTTTGTCTAATCCTTTCAATCTTATTCATCTTTAATCGTCAATCCATCAACAAGTCATATAACCCCATGACCCCAAAGTCAATCATTCAATCTATTCAGCATTTACCATTGAAAATCCGAGGAATACAGATAGTTAATTTTTACCTGCCAGAAATAATGAAAACCGAGCATTCATACCACGGGACAGAATTGTGGAACAGACCACAAGGATAGGATAATATACACGTACGTATCCTTATTGTTACGTTTGTGCTACGAAAAAACTTTAACTTCTGTCAACGATTGATTGATTGATTGTTGATTGCTTAGCGTCCAGTGGCAAATATTTCATGCATGTTCAGGACGAGAACAAATTACCAATAGATACAATAGGTAGGTCCGGTAATATAGGTCAACTGGGTTGCAGGTCGGGAAAATTTGGACTGCCACGGGAAAATGAAGGTATATTGGATAGGGACAGAAATTTAGCCTTGCAACAGGCCACCTACGGACCCCTTAAAGAGTTGTTGCAAGGGTTCTTAACGTGCAGATAGCGTGACACTCTCTCTACACGAGGCATCGGATTTAACGTCCCCATTCTGACCAGACGTGGCTGCGTACTTGATACATCCCGCACAGCCAAACGGATGCCCCACTTTTTGCAAGGGTTTTATTGCCTGTCGGAAGAAGACCTGTAGTGACCATATTTCTATTCCCCAGTCACCCTTGTGAAGTTCTGTCAAAGATGAATTGAGTTTATTACAAAGAGGCTCTGTGTAAAGTTTGCCAGACGCGTCAGTGTACCGGCGATTGTGGATTGACAATAAAAATCTAATATGATGATCTTTGTATTTACAGTTGTGAATAAAAGAAGACATTATAAAATCCAAATGAAATTTATCTTATGTCTTATGTAGAACACATCTAAGAAAATTATTAATTAAAGGGATACCATTGTTCTCACCAATGGCATGTAATGATTTCAAAATACAAGGTTTATTTTGATTAAATTCTCAATAGGTATACATCATAGTTTAGGTTTTCAGAAGTTACTGTATTAGCTTTGCCGTTTATATAGATAACTAACCAATGAAATGACTGACTAGGTAAGTGATATTTTAAGACATGTTAGATCTTCACATTTAATTTATGTGCAGATCTAAATATAATCAAAAGATACTTTGTTACCATCGATCAACCATTTGCATGCAGCAGCTTCTATAAAGAATGTTGAAAATTAATAAAAAAATGTTTACAGAAAAAAATACTTTCACGGCCGGGAAAACTTGTAGGGGTAAGTTAATTTCAAGCACGCAAGAAAACAATTGACTAAAGGAGAAACAATATACTTTTGTTTTTGCAGTGTCCGATATTAGGCTCAAAGTACTTGCGCAACCAATACAGAAATAAGGTGCTGTACTTCCAAAAAGATTCAATGAAGCAACGCCAGAGACAAAAAAAAATCAATGAAGCAACGTCGGAGACAAAAAATAATCAATGAAGCAACGTCAGAGACAAAAAAATCAATGAAGCAACGTCAGAGACAAAAAAAACACGTTGGGATGCAATCTCCTAATTAAGTTTGTTTATAGATATCAATATAGAAAGGAAATCAAACAAAATATTGTAAGTGTGTAACTGAAAGCAATGAGTTCATAGCAACTGTATGATAACGGCAAGACAGTAAACCAGTTTTTCTACACTAATGAATATAAGCTGTTGTACTTCCAGTTATCAGTTAACCATACAACAACTTATAACAGTACTTGGTAACTTGGCGACTACTTTAAATGATATTAACGTCCACTATACCTTTGATTATAATAGTGTTGTTTTGAACGAAATCATTGATAACGCATTGGCCATTCCTCTTATGTATGTGTATGGTAGGAGGTCTGGAGCTCCATATGTTGTTTTTTTTTTTTTCGGAATAAACTTTTGTTTTCAAATTTAATCAAAAAACTTTTTTTTAATAACATTTTGGAACTACATGTATTCTTTTTTCTCAAATAAATGTTTTGTGTTTTTATTTTAGTTATTCCTTTGTATGAAATGTTCGACGAAAGCAGACTATGTATTTACTTAAATTTTCTGTTAAAAAGAATTATTTTTCAACAAAAAAAATCCAAAAAGCACATAAATATAAGAATACAGGCACACAAAAGACGAATGGTAGGAACTTTATCCAGATTTATGTTGGGAAGAACACGAAGTATTTTAAAAGGAAATGTATAATTATTTCGATATCTATATCTTGTCAGTTTATTAACCTCAAGCGCAAATAACGCAATCATAGGTCACCGCACGGTCCCCAACAAACAATGCCTAAAACCCGTACCGCACGGAAAGCTACAAAAGGCCCCAACATGACAATATGTAAAGTACACGTTTTCACACTATACACGTATACCTTCCTTTTTAAAAATATTGACACGATAAAACCCCAATTACATCTTGTATCTTTCAAACTTCATTTTGTCTAGTCTAATAATGATCCCAGATGATATATTATACATTACCGTTTCAATTACAATATCATAAATTACAGCCAAAGTAAACAATTTAGAAAGAATTCACAATAATTCGTATCATAGTAGCTATTAACTGTTACTACAGTATTAATGATATCACAGTTTTCTATTAAGTCATTATAAGATTTAGAATTGAGGGTCTTTATTTTGATGTAGATTGACAAAATTGTGTCATATGCAATCTGATCAATGTGGTGTTCCGCACGTATCATCCAAATCACTGCTTCGGCACCGACACTGCTATTTTAGAATATGATTGAAAAGATTGATGATTGATTGGTGTTTGCTAAACTTCTAGTGACATGTCTATAGCCAACACGATGGTTAAAAAGAAGTGTAGGGTTCATGTACTAAACTATGTAAAAAAAAAACAGATAAAAAACAGAACAATTTGCCCTGTGTTTTATTTAGTTAAATTTTAAAAATCTAGGATTCAGGATCAAGCAGATTTTTTTTTTAAATCTGTCTCCTAAGAAGTATATTATTTTGTTCATATGGAACCCGTGTATTTTTTACATTCGATGTATATTGCAGCTTTCCGCCAGACCGTTTTTGGAAATGTGGTCTTAATTGTATTTTTTTTTTTTTTTTTTTTTTGTCGTCCTGAATATGCATGAAATATTTGCCACTGGACGTTAAGCAACCAACAATCAATCAATCATTGTATTTTTTATTCTGGCATCTCAAAAACTGATTGCATATGGTAATGTCACATACTTATAAATTGTAAATAACTGGAGCATGTTTGCTGATGAAATAAACAGAAAATTATTAAATGCATGACACTATAGAGTCGAACTTTCTTATATGTTAATTAAATAGTGAATTAGATAACAAAACAAAAAATTAAATATAAACAGAACAGTGCAAAAGAAAAACAAACACCCGCTCGAAAACAAAACCCCAAAAAAACAAACATCTTACACCCCAAAAATAAAAGAAAAACCAAAATAAAAACAAAACAAAACAAAATAAA